CTTCAGCATAACTACCCTTGAGCAACATCTGTCCTCTCTGCATGACACTTCCGTTAATACTTATTTAGATTTCAGCTCTTATCAGGATAAGTGACCTTTCGCTTGTAATTCACCACCACTTTTATTTTGCTGTCATTGTTACTATTATTTCAATCAAACTTTTTGCCATTATGCTTTGAATCTGTCACACAATGCTATTCATTTTGATTATACATTTTAGTCTATCAAGTTATTACAGTATGTTGAAGTGGTTATCATCCATCATGTAAACCAATCCATAATTGTTACCATGCAGTGCTGTATGAACATACCTCTATAAGTTATTAGAGTATCAGAAGACTGGTTTGTTGCGTTATTCATATATTTATGTTCTGTAGGAGTTTTCACAAAAGATCACAGATGGCTGTTCATTTTACATCGCATGAAAAGGACCATTAAGTGTATATTTCTAGGTCTATTTCAATGTGCTACTGCTAACTGCTTCATCATTGTAACGTGGTGGTCAGTATAGTAAGACTATTTATTCTTGTTACATTTATGGGACAGACTAGTAGGGGCCAAACTTTTTGGCAGGTGTTCCACAAATTAATCCTGTATCCTCCCTGAGTACTACTCCAGTCTCCTTTCCCTGCCCAATCTGTTGCTCCACTTTCTGCTTTCTACCCTGTTCTTCCTGCCCAATCTACTGCTTTGCTTTATGAACTTCCTGCCCTATCTGCTACTGTGGTGCATGTCCCCTCTCTGATCTGCTGCATGTCACACACAGAGGTCACCCATGCCACTTGTGGCACACGTGCCACATTGACCACCCCTACTAGCAGTTCACAAATACTGCATACTTTGTGAAAGATATTCAACAACACAGCAACAAATATGTCTAGAGACACATGCACTTAAGAGATCTTGTCCCATGCAACACTTGCATGGCGCACCTAAAAAGACTGCACTGTAGTCTTTGAATATATAGCTTCATGTGCAAAGTGACAAAGAGACTAACAATTCCCTACAATTCGTACAAGACGCAAAAATTCAGCAGAAATAACCCGGTGGTAACAGAATTTAGTTTGCAACAAATTATTATATTTCTTCTGTATTACACACATTTCCCATGGAATGACTTGAATCAACTATGGATTCAATGATGGATAAAATGGAAAACAACTTCTTTAACTACTTTTATTCATACACAAAATCTAGTCTTCTTGTCTTCATTACTTTTAAAATGATCTAGTAATTGATTAATAATATACAATGGCATAAGGACTCAAATTCCATATGGTCCAGTAGTCAAACTACCAAATATATTAATAGTGCTATAAGGATCCACAGTAATCAATATCTAATCTTCAATACCTTTTCGGTCACCCTTCTTAGTGTAAATATTTAATCAACTTATAAGTTAAGTTATTGGAAAACGTTCTTTATATTCTTTAATACTTTGTCAACTGTTCCTTATATTGTGCCAATTATAATCTTTTGGAACACTTTAAACTGAATAGTTCACAAGATCGCTCTTTTTTTTATTAGACTCCTTTTTTGGATACCCATGCTTCTCCTCTTTTGGTATCATGAAAAAATCTTAGATTTTGTAAGGAGTCTTCCACATTTCTGATTTTATTTTCTCTTAGAGCTTCTAATCTTTTGTTTTAGTTATGCCAAAAAAGATAATAGCTTCTACTTTTTCTACTGTGTGCAAAACTTACATAAACCCTTCAAAGTTCAATGTAAATGTTCAATTATTCAAATGCCGAACGGCTGAGCAAATACTGAGGTACCTAATGCAAGGGCGACTGGTGCCTCGTGAGGCAGGGGCATTTGTCCCCCCAGCAGCTAGTCAGTGACTTAGTCCCCCTGCGGCTGACTGTGCTGCCAGGGGGGTCCCCACTGCGCACTGCTGGCAGAGGGATGGCAGGGATCCCTTCCTCTGGAGCCCCCAACTCCCTGGCCAGCACTCTCCGGAAGGGCACCAGCACTCTTGCCTGCCCCCCCTGCCTGTTGCCTAAGCAGGGAGCACTGGCTGTCAGGGGGTGCACCAGCGCTCTCAGGGGTACACATGCACCCTGTGCACCCCCTACACATCACCACTGACCTAATACATCCACTGATTTGTTCCTTCTGTTTCTATAGCTTACTGCCATTTTTTTGCTTTTACTCTTCCTGTTCCCCTACTGCACTGAAGACAGATTGCTTAATGTGTTTTTTTTCACTCCTATCTGTTCTGATTTCATCATAAATCTTTTGGGTTTGTTTCTTCTGGAAAAACATCTCACTTCATCTACAACAACTATATCTATTATCTAGTGTTTTGTGTTTTATAATTGTATCCAGTTTTGCAAGCATTTCTCAATGTCAGTCATTATTCTCTGGGCATGGATCACAGGGAAGAATATTCTGTCACATTCTATCCTTGAAAATACTGACAGACTATATCTAACATTTTTCTACGATAACTAATTAATTATAACACAGAATCATAAATCGTATGTTTTAACGTAGATCTATTACAGAGACTGACAGGAACAAGTCACATTGGGAATTTTTTGATTTAGCAGAAATAATAACTTTTCTAAGGAAAGGAGAAAAATAAACTGGTTTTACCAATCCAAAATATTCAGAGACAATATCTAGGGTGAGCCAAGCAATTTCAATAGCATTATTATTTTACAGAAAAGACACAATTGCCTATACTGCCTTTTCCTCAAAAAACCACCAAATACATTTAGAAAAAGCCAGTCTAGTAGCTAGCTGTAAAATGTGGTTTCGTGCTTTACAGTATTATAATTTTAATCAGACTGAAAGCATTATTGTACTGGTCATGTAAAAATGTTGAACTGTATGGTTTCCTGTCACACATTCACAAGTTAAATCTATGGCATTAAAACTACACTTTTTCCCACATTAAGCATAAAGTAAAACAACAGTGCAAAGCAGTGGGAACTTCAGACCTGCTGGTGCCACACAGTTGAAAACATGAATCCATACTTTATCTGGTTTTACTACTTGGCCATTGATTGAATTATTTTTTCTATTAAAGCATCATCAGTCAGTGCCAGCTTTCAACATCTATCCAACTCACAAATTTTGCTCTTGAATAATTTTTCTTGTACACAAGGATTTTCAGCTGAAATTCTGCTTCTGTGTTCAACCCAACCATTCACATCTCAGATGCTATATACTGATATTGCCAAAGCCATCCACCAAACACTCTTAAAGGTTTTATGTACTGCATCTGTTTCCAAAGAAATGATAAAGGTTTCCTTGGCAGACATAAAACCTGATGTACAAAATACACAAATTCAGGCCTCTTTAAAAAAAAAAAGTCCACGTACTTCGATAACTGAAATAACTATACAGTTCTGGAAACTCACCTGCTGTAATGTATCTATCAATCCAGCCTCCTACAAAAAAACTCTCTCAAAACAAGATAAAGTTATCTAGGTAACGTTGTATCAGGAATTATAGCTTATATACTTGGGTATATGGCTTAAATAGTTGGGTGCGCGCAAGCATTACGTTTCAAGTGGGAGAATCACAGTTCTCCAGGTAGAAACTGGAAGTGTTCACACAGTTTCTCCCAAAACAAAAATGGTGGTTTCAGGAGAAAACTAACCCAACTCCAACCAAGCAGAAGTATCTCTTGGGAGACGCTTCTTCTGGGAGAAGGAATGCATATAGGATTACCCTTCCTATACAAATCACAGTACCATCCTCCAGCATCTCAGAGTGCATTACTTCAGAGCATGCATACAGATACCAGAGACGATGACTAAGTCACAAAACAGTTACACAAAACCAGATCTCAAGCTAAGAGCAGGTAGTATTTTATTTAACAGACTAAGGACAGTTGGGACACTGCTGTCCTCTAGAGCAAAGAAACTGATAAATATCACTAGCTAATGGAACCTGATAGATTCCATATACTTTAGTGGGAGATGTGCTGCCTTCTCAATAGACAACTTTTCAGTGGATTGACTACATTTTTTATCTCTTATTTCCTTAAAAAGCAATTTTTTAACACATACAGACACTAAACTGGCCAGCAAAATACAGCCATAATCCTCCACCCCCCCCCTCTTTTTAAGAAAATAACACAATTTTTTTTGTGGAAAAGGGTATTTTTCTACTTTTCTGGTGTATCAAGGAACTGAACTGTATTGATTCCTATTTTAGTTTTATGCCACTTGGAGCAGGGATCTTTCCTTTCTCTAGGTTCATGCAATGAGGCCAAGCCAGAACCCTGGACCTAGCCATTCCCAATCAAGACATCAGAGTAAGTCATCCCCTGAACAGGCACCACCTGCAGCAAGCCTGGAACTGTACCTTGGTCCTAGCTGGGCCAAGTAAGGCAGTTAGTTCCCTGAGGCCACAGACAACAGGCCTCACCTGCTCCAGCCCTTAAAATGTAGGTACAGCCTGCAGTATCCCTATCTGGGCAAAGGCAAAAGTTCTTGCTTCTGACCTCCCGTGCATTTCCTTGTTAGGCTTCTGGTTTTCATTCCAACTTTGGCTTCTATTCCTGGTAAGACCCTTGGCATTCCCTGCTCATGATTCTGGGTTGGCTTTCAGCTCTGGCTTTTGGCCTCTGATCCCAATTAACCCTTGACTTTGGTTCTGGACTCTGGCCTGTCCTGATTTATGGATATATCAGAATCTAGTTCTGATGCCAAATCCCTCTGGACCCCAGCTCCCTGGGAACCAATCTACTATCAGCATTCAAACTAATTATAAGGATGATTTTATTAAATTCCTAAAAATCTTTCTACTAATATTAGATTTTTTTTCTAACACCTTTATAAAAACCACACATAAACACTCCAAAATATCTAATTTTTTATCATGAAAAACTGCATAACAATTTCATTTTAAAAAGTCTATGAAAATTTACAAATCAGTTTAATCACATGCAAACAGGTGCCATCTATCAGTTTAAAGTAATTTAATTTAAAATTTTAATTTAGTCCTCAGAATTCCTATTTTTAGAAATAAAAATAGATGCTGACCTGGACTAAGAGATGACCCAAGCTGGAGAAATGTGTGTCATTTTCTCTAATGTTATTAATCTGCTTCACTAACTGCAGCAGTATTTCCACAGCTCCTTTGTTGGCCATTTCATTAAGAATAGCTGCATTTCCAGAAATGAATTTTATAGCCCCCATACAATAAAGAAGAGCTTCATTGTTTGCTTGTAAATCTTCAATTCTCAGGACCTCCAACAAATAATCTAAAATAAAAATCAGCATTTAGAAAGTCTGACACTGACATTTATATTTCAGTTATCCCTGTCCTTAAAGAAAAACATAGTTGCAAAAGAAAACTGTGGTTGTAAACTTTATCATACTCTTCTTTTATGTAAGTTGGAAGATTAGGTATCTGGATTGAAATCATGAGCAACTACTGATGTGTAGCAGAAAGGATCAAAACCTTTGGTTTCCTAGTCTTTAGAAAAAGCATATAAATTTTGAAAGACCAGTGGTCATCACTAAAATCTTTGATCAAGATTTTCAAGGTATTTTATGGGCCTTACTTCTTGAGTGCTCAGTTTGGAACACTGTACACTGGCCTATTCAGCAAAAGAGTATTCTCAGCACCTTTTGAAAATAAGGCCTCTTTAAGGTACCCCTTATTATGCACCTAAAAAGTCAGGCACCTAAAATCCTAAAATCAATGGTTATCTTTGAAAAGTTTGCCCTTGGTATTTTTTAACTTTACATTTTCAAGCAGAATCAGGAGGATATTCCCTACCAGATAACAAAACAATCCCAGTCAGTTGTTGAACCTTATTTTCTTGATCTGTTAAAAAGAAACTAATACTGACTTTTGTTTCTTTAGTCACTTTCAGTTCAAATAGAAGAGACACAATTTTCCCATCCCATTTTAAACATCTCCTGCTCCACATTAGAATGAACCAAAGATCTTACAACTGCCTAGTGGTCAGGAGGATTACCTGGGATGCAAGAGACCTAGCTAAATCAGAGAGGGACCTTGAAACTCAGTCTCCTGCCTCTAACGTGAGTAATCTACTCAGCAGACTCTTTTCTATCCCAGTTTCCCCCTCTTGCTGAAGTTTTCTTTTATGAATCAATAGTTAAATATACATAGTACAAGAAAGGGACTCTGCCCCTATAGCCCAATGATTAGGACATTCACACAGGATAAAGACGACCCAGGTTCAATCCACGTTCTGAATCAACACAGCAGGAATTTATAGCTGTGTGTCCTATATCCTATGAAAGTGTCCCAAACACTTGGTTACCCTACAGCAGCAATTTTCAACCAGGAAGGAGGGCACTGTGGTACCCAGTGTCATCACTGTGGCGTCTCAGTGTCATGAGATGCTTTTAAGGGTGAAGAGGGTGTCATGCAATATTATAGCACTGTTAGGTATACAAACACCCATGTGATTCACAAGATAAACTGAGACACATGAATCCACAGCGTCAAAAATATTTTGAGTTTTTTGCAAGAGAAGAATTGTTCTATTTTTTCATAATCAAAAAATACGTGAAAATGAAGAGCTGGTATTTTGTTTGGAATGCCTTGAGTTTAACAAGGTTGATAACCACTGTCCTAGGGTAAGAGCTTCCTTTCTGATCAGAAGTTTTATTCTGGACCTGGAAAACCTTTCCCAGGTAAAGATGTCTAAAAACTGGTACAATTCCACAGAATGTTTCAATTTCAACAAATTTATATTTTATGATGAAAAAAATCATTTTTTTCATGTTTTGTCTGACTGAAAAAAAAATCAGGTATTTTCTTTAATAACTAATAATAATCTGTACTCAAGTAAAACATTTAATAAGCAATTACTTCAACCATAAGAAAACTTTTCCTTTTTTCTGTCTACATATGAGTGTCATAAAAACCCTTTCTATCAAAATCCCACTTAAAAATTAGTGAAGAAAACCATGGGAAGACAGGATTGAAGAGAAAATGATGTTGTTATACAGACATTTTCAATGTACCTACCTAGATTTTCTTATGGTCCTCATCTCCCTAGAAGGAGTACATTTGATTTCTGAGATTGTTGTGGAACTTTCTTTCTCAAAAGGCCTTTTGCATTCGCTTTGTACCTGGTACAATTATCTGGCCTAAGACCCCATTTCTACAAACGTGCTTAAATTTAAGGATGCAAGTAGTCCCATTTACTTCAATGGGACTATTCAAACTCTTTACTTAAGCACATCTATTAAGTACTTGAGATATTCAGGCCTAAATTAGTAAGCCATGTAATAAAGTTTGACTGAAAAGGAAATAAATTAAAAACAGGATTGAACACGGCTCTCTCACTTGTCCATCATTTCTATACTGCGTATATTTTTAAAGTGTAGAATTCAGTTTTGGCACAAATTTAACTATCAGAATTTTTCTACAGAATGTGAAGGACAAACAATTTTACTATTTCAGCACTTAAAATTTATTTTAGCGCATGTAAAATAGAATACATACCCAATAGTTTGTCATTTTGGATAAGAAAATCATTTTTTTCATTTCTGCAAATTTTGAATGCAAGTTTGCACACACTAAGCATATTCTTTCCACTCACTTTCATCTGCAGAGAGAAAGAGATGAAACAAAAATTACAATTATATTTTTGTGAAAATGAAAATTTCCCATATTATTTTAAAAGTTGGGTATATGGTAATCCTGTACTTCAGAAGTCCCAAGAAAAGCACCAACAACTAGTTACTGGGCCTGTTCTGGTTCTGAACTGAGTACAGGTTTTGCTATTACTTCACTGGAACAGAATCGGGCTTACAGAATTCAAAGATTCTAAAATCTTAATATGTAAAACTGTAAAAAAAGCTTAAAAATTGTATATGTAGAACTTTAAAAGGACTGCATATTACTATTTTGTAGGTTTTTAAAAATCATTCTTACAGTATAAAACAATAATTCCTGACATGCTTCTTCCCTTGAGTAGGGTTCCTTGTTTAGTCATTAGTAGCCACAAAACAAAAATATAAGAGGAGTTATGTTGGATAATCAAAGAAGACAAAATAATACATTTCATAATGAAAGATGCCCTCAAACTTTGGGAAATATTTTAAATGATTTAAGTCAGCAGGGGAGAAATCTGACGGCAGAAGACACAAGAAAAAATAGCGGAAACTGAAAGGGAATGTGAAAGAGGTAAAAATACAGTAAAAATCTTTCCCCCATTTGTTATACAATTTGAAAAATATTTAATGGCAAAAATGCCACTGCTATAATTCTTAAATTCTGCACTACAACCAAAAACACGCACATTTTTTATTTTTATCTCCAGGTTAAAAGATACATGAAAATTGAAGTAAAAATAATGTGATCACTAAAAACTCTATCAGGAAATGAGCTAAGTAGGAAGGTCAAAGTACAGTCTTAGCTGTGGATTTTACATCTTATCAGAAATATTAATACCACAACACTGCCTTATGAAAAACAAATTTTGTCAAAATACAGTTAAAAGAAATCTCGTAATAAATCTGATGCTTACCTCACTGCTACCTCTAAGATTTGAAGGCATATACTGATATTAACATTAATAAAACAACAGTTTTATCTATCAACATCTTCCGTAACATTTTCATGTACACAATTCCTTAGAGAGGCCATAGGCAGAGGTGCATCTGTAGTGCTACAAATGTTGCAGCACTTCGAAGTGCTACAGAAATGTAGCAATGCCAGACATGGCTAAACATTGAAGCCCTCAACCACTTGCTGCAAAGGCATTCTGCATGCTCTCCAGCCCAGGGGCAAAACACGGTTGCTCAGCTCTGCTTCCTTCCTCCCACAGGAATAGTGGTGCGCTATGGCAAAGAGGAGGACTGAGACACTCCCTTCATTGCTATGGTGCACTGGACACGTTACCTGTGGTACTACCAAACACAGAACTAAGGTGAAGTACTTGTTTAATTCAGAAACATGTTTGTGGTGCTTCTGCCATTCTGTAGCACTATCTAGGATATGCATGTCTGTACGCTCAACTTTCATAGCAACACAAATGTAATATCTGTCCACAGTCAGAGACTGAATATAGTGACAAAATGAAGAAAACTTGGCATATTACAATTAAGGTTGCCAGTTACAACACCACTGAATTAAATGATGAAATCAATAAGTTTATTGAATTATTTATTTTAAATTATATGAATTAAAAGGTGTGGTTAACAGCTTAGTAGAAGTCTTTTGTTGTGAAAGGTATGGGATATAGTAAAGTTAATTAATTTGCTAAAAAAAATTAATACTAAATATTTTCCTCAATTGCCTATTTGTTGCAAAACACAAAATGCAAAAAAATAAAAAAATAAATAAAAAAATTCCAGGTTTTTTATTTCAGTTATACTGTTTTCTGAAATACTTCTAAGGCATTTTAATTATATCTCTTAAAACATTTCAGTGCTGCCTTCCAACCCAACAGCAAGTAGCAGAGATGATTAGGAGTACCACTCTGCTGCTCAAGTGTGTAACAAGCAGTGTGTCCTAGGAGCACTGACATGCTGCTGCATGCATCATGCTTGGACCACTGGATGATTCATTCCATCAGTAATGACATTAGCACAAATAAAGAGGGTGAGAATTTCAGAATTACCTTTGAAACTCATGGGATCACAAGGATCACTAAGTTACCACAATGTTCACCAGGTACTCTAGTTTGAGTTGTGCGAATACCTCAACATTTATTTACTTTCTAATTATATTTAGAATAAATCCCAGCTTTGGTGTAAAACTCTGTGAACAACTAATTTTCGTAAGCTAAAGTCCTAAGTAAAACTGGGAACTGGAAAATAAGAGTTCAACTCTCATTCCTGTCACAGCCTGTACCGTCTTGGACAAGTCACTTAATTTTTTGGATCAGCATCACAAAAAACCTTCCTAACCCATTTTGGTACAAGAGAACCCCTAACTACCCATGTTTTCTGGGTACAATGGACTTAGGCACCTAAAGTTATTTTACTCTACATGCCCATGGTGCTGCCATCTTGGCTGGCCTGAAAATCAGGGCTTGGGACAGCTGTTCAAAGAGCCTGGGCCTGAACTGATTCAATCTTTGCAGGTTAGTCTAACCTGGCTAGGCTGAACTGAGGGGAAGTATGGCCAGGCCTGAGCAAATTTGAGAGGGGGAAAGATTTCAGAACATACCTCTGCTTCTATGCTTCCTACTGGCTAATTCAGGTGTTGCTCCCCAAACTCAGCATAGTGAATGTTGTGAATCCCAATCCTAGGCACCTAAGCTTCCTGACCTAAACTACAGAGATCTTAGATGCATATTTCAGGTTTGTTAATTTCACTCTGGATCCAAGTATCCTTTATGATTTTTGCCCTCTATTCCTCCAACCCTCCTTAATATAACAAACAAGATTATATTTGCATTCCCATGCCCTTCGTCTGTCTTGTCTGTTTAGACTGTAAGCTGTCTGGTGCAGATACCATCTCTCAAAGGTACACTAGGAGAGGTTTAAAAGGAGAGGGGGAGCCACTGTGCTCTGGACTGTACTGCAGCTATTAGTTACCTGTAAAGGAGCCTGTAATGAAACAAAAACATTGAGCTGCAGCCAGACACCTAATAAAGTTTATCTGGCTATAGGAGGGGGCAAGCTGAGGGATGAGATAATAAAAGAAACAGAGCTTTTGATGGGTCTGAATAAATTCAAGTCAGCACAGCCTGATGACCTTCATCTCAGGGTACTGAAGGAACTGAAAGAGGTCATCTCAGGGCCCTTGACAATAATATTTATGAAATTGTGGGAGATGGGCAAAGTACTAAAGGACTGAAAAAGGGCAAACATAGTACCCCACTTTAAAAAGGGAAAAAAGGAGGACCCAGGGAACTGCAGACTGGTTAACCTCACCTTAGTACCCAGAAACTTACTAGAACATACCCTAAGGAACTCCATTTGCAAACATCTGGATGACAAAATCTGGGCTATTGTAGGGAAAGGAAGATTCTTCTACAAGCAGCCAGAATGGATTTAAGAAGAAAAAAACCATGCTAAACAAGCATTACCTCACTGGAACAGAATCAGGCGTACAGAATTCAAAGATTCTAAAATCTCAATATGTAAAACTGTAAAGTACAGTACCTCTTTAACAAAGTAACTACTTGGGTGCATGAAGAGAATGCTGTGGATATAGCAGTATAGTATTTACATCTCAGGGGCCCTGACAATAATATTTATCAAACTGTGGGACTTCAGCAAGGGTTCTGACGAAGTCCCATGTGACCATCTCATAAACAAATTGGAAAATGTGGGCTAGGCAAAACTTCTGTCAGGTAGGTAGGTAGACAACTGTCTCAATAGCCACAACTACAAATGGATCCATGTCATAATGGTAGGGGGTTTCAAATAGAATCCCATAGGGTATCCTGGGCCCAGTGTTGTCCAACGTGATTTATTAATGTTGGAATTGGGAGTTTCTTCAGCAAAGTTGAGCAACAACTACAGGCTTGGCAACGCCAACCTGACCAGCACTATAAATGAAAGAGACCTGGGGGTAGTAACAGACTACAGCATGAATATGAGCCTGCAGTATGACTCTGGCCAGCAGCGAAAATAATACTCTGGATGCATTTCTAAAAAGACAAAGGAGGTGATTCTTGCACTCTACTTGGCACCGGTGAGACTCCAACTGGAGTACTACATCCAGTTCTGGGAGATGCCCTTTAACAAGGACATGGTAAAACTTGAGACAGTCCAGAGAAGGGCCATCCATATGATGAGAGGCTTGCACAGCAAGCCACATGAGGAAAGGCTGAGGGACCTGGGACTCTTCAGCCTAAAAAAGAGAAAGCTGAGAGGGGACTTGGTAGCAGCTTACTGCTACGTCAGGGGAATATATCAGGGGCTCGGTGAACAACTGTTCACCAGGGTGCCCTTGGGGAAAACCAAGAGTAATGGCCACAGACTCCTGGAAGACAATTTCAGGCTCAACATTAGGAAAAATTTCTTCACAGTTAGGGTGTCCAGACAGTGGAATAACCTTCCAGAGGTGGCACAATCGCCTACCCTGGAAATCTTCAAGAGGAAACTGGACAGTCATCATGCTGGGGTCACCTGACCCCACCAGTCATTCTTCCTACCTGGTGGAGGGGCTGGACCCAGTGATCTTCCAGTCCCTTCCAGCCTTACCATCTATGAGTAAGCTGCAGATGACACAGAAGTGGGAAGGACTGCAAACACACTGGAGGATGACACTGCAATTTACAGGATCTTAGTTTGGAAAGCGGGGCTGGAGCTAACAGGATGAAATTCAAGGCTGATAAATGCAACATGCTACAGCTCATGAAGAATAATAAAAAATAAATACAAAATGGGTGGCACCTGGCTGGATGGTAAGACTACAGAAAAGGGCCTGGGAGCCTTAGCAGTCTGGGAATCTGCATTGTCACAAAAGGCAAATGCAGTTTTACGATGCAACAAAAGAAGTATTAGGTACAAGACACAAAAGGTGATAGTGCCTTTCTATTCAGAACAAGTTAGGCCTCAACTACTCAGTACTGGTAAGACCTCATCTAGATAACTATGCAGTTTTGGGGTTCACATTTCAAAAAGGACAGAGGGAAGTTAGAGAGGGTCCCAGAGATGGGTGACAAAAAATGATAAAAAGCCTTGCAAGGCAAGTTGAATGAGAAAAGGTAGAAGGAAATAGGCATTTTTAGCTTGCAGAACAGGAGCCTAGGAATGGACACAATAGCAGTCTTCAAATATCCAAAGAGCTTTGCTAAAGAAGAGGGAAAACATCTTTTCTTTCTTGCTGCAGAGAGCAAAATGCAGACCAATGGCTTGAAGCTGCAGCAAAATAGGTTTAAGATTGGGTATTGGGAAAGACTTCTTCACAGTTAGAACAGTGAGGCAGCGGAATAGACTGCCTAGGGAAGTTGTGGACTGTCCACCACTGGATGTGTTCAAGAAGAGGTTAGATGAGCACTAGTATGGGTAGATTTGGGAGTACCTATGCCTGTATTCCACTACAGGTATTCTCCCATGCTTCTGGGCTTTGCTGGTTGCCACATGGGGCCAGGAAGGATTTTTTTTTCTCCTCCTGCCACTATAAGTGAGGGGTTGGGGTTGGGTTGCCTTCCTCAAGAACCACTGGGGGTTGGCTAGAGCAAAGGCTGCTGATTTTGACTGGGGTGAACCAATGCTTGTGCTGGGACTTAAAGTTTCTGGTTAGACAGTCTTACCCCTCCAACTGCCATACTTGAAGTCAGGAAGGATTTTTTTCCCCATGTCAGACTGGTACGGAGGTTTTGCCTTTTTCTGTAATGGAGATGTGGCCCTCTTGGATGTCTCAAACACTTTTTAACAACCTCTGAAGCAGCAAAATATTGGCCATTGGGGTCCCCTCTGCTTTCCCTGTAGCAAATTAGGATTGCTTATGTCTTGTGGCTGTATCAGGATTGACTGTGTAGTTTTGCTGTTAGGTTAAACAATGGATTTACATAGGATCATTTAGTTAGGGATCATATGTAAGGGGGCTGGCCTAGATGACCTCTGGAGGTCCCTTCCAGCCACCCTGCTTTTCTATGATTTTATGAAATGTAGCAAAACTGTTCCAACTTTAACCCAGCTTCATCCAAATTTAAAGCTGGGGCGATTTAGCTCGCTTGTATCACTGAAAGCTCATGCACATGTGACACCTGCTGCATGCTCCTGAGCATCATTTCCTGCTCCTTTTACAAGACAGTCCAAGTGTATTTTTCTTCATGCCCATGTGTCCATTTTTAGCATAACATAATAGAGCTCCAACCTCAGTTGGGGTCCCTGAATAATTTTTAAGTAAATAAATACTACATAATAAGAGAATGAGATACGATTCCTGGATCTGCCACTGACTAAATGAACTGGCCTCTGACAAATAACTTAATCTCTCTGAGTACTTCAGTGCCCCCATATAGGAACAATTTTATTTACCCACTTTTAAAATCACTTCACATCCTCAGATAAAAGTACTTTAATCAAGTATTATTAAAAATTTAACTTATTTTTTAGGTTTAGTCTTTGGTTCTTAGCAGATTGAAGGCTACTAATACTAAAATAAAGAATGTAACATTTGATAAAAAAAAAAGATTCACAGATACGGTATGTTAATTATTGCATTCTAACGTGTTACAAACTAGTATTTAAAAAAAAAACCAAAAAAAACTTACAGCCAGAATAATTATTGCCAATTTCAGGCAAAGTGGGTCTGAACCAATGTCAACCAGTTTATATAATGTCTTCAGAAGCACAGTTCTTCTTTTAAATCTCTTTCCTAGCATATGCCCTTCTTCCAAGGCTTGATAGAGACTGGTACAGGCAAGGCAGAGCTTTTCTATATTGTCTTCTATTTGGGTGGAGAAAGTAAAAGTTAACCATTATAGACAAAATACAGATAAATGTTTGCATAATGGCATAAAAAAAAAAATCTTCCAATAAATCTCTTAGGATTCTGGCCTGTTAATAAAAGTATTGATAGCATTGGCTGTACCACAAAACATATTTTGATGTTGTTATTGGTTTAAAAACAGTAGCTCCTGTTAAGCCAAGTGATTCATAGAGCCAACAATGACACCCATTTACCTCGTCGTCTTTAAAGAGAAGACAAAAATGAAACTTTTTTTACTTTTAATAATTAGACTAACCAGATACCAGGTATAAACCTTGGAGAATCTGGATGGATTCACTGAAGAGCTCTGCCAAATGTTACAGGCAAAAACTAACTAACTAACTAACTAAGGACAGTTTAGGAACATTATTTTAGCTACAAATCCACCCTAAAGGACATCCTATGCCAGCTGCTGTTAGGGGTTCAAGTCTGAATTTATATGCAAGATCCTGAACTCACACAAGAGGTTCAAAATGCACTCAAATAGAACTTTGTTTATAAAATAACAAAAAAGAAAATCTGCAAAGTACCAAAAAATCTACACCCTCAAAAGAACACAAATACACATTTATAAAAAAGAATAAAAGGCCACATCTATTCTCTAAAAATTAAATATTTTGTGCCTGAATTCCTGGTTTTCTTTTGTTTTGTTTTGCTTTTTTGCTTGAAGGCTACATCATTTTGTTTGTTTTTTGTTTTAAGGCTACATCAGTAAGGTACATAAAGTATACTATAAGCTTACCTGAGATACTGCCATTTTGAGTATATACTGCATTTCTCAACACAGACATACTACTGTAATACTCATGTGGACAGCAGGTAGCTCAAACAAATCTATATTACTAGAGAATTATAAAGAATTTTAAAGAAATATCATGCTATATTTGATGCTTGCCAAACTATCCTATGTAAACATACTGGATGGGTAGGTGATTTTCAATATTTTTAAAAATAAAGGGGTGATTTGTATATTTTATTTGCTAAATAACTTTAAAAATCCCCATTAGTCACACAAACTAAGATTTTAATTTTTGTTTGTTTTTTATTACAATGAATTTAGTATTTGGGAGAGATGCTTGACTGGCAAAGAAAATGCATGAGAACTTTACTTAGCCACCCGACTTAATAAAAAATTATGATTAAAAATAAATAAAACCATTGATTATGTTCAGATTATAGTAATTTTAATAAGCCTAAGAAGAAATTTGAATTTAATATAAAATGTTTAGGTTTAACATTTCTAAAAACATTTAAATGAAAAGATACATGCTGAAATTGTAAGACTATCAAAAATTGGGTTACAGGTTGCATGCTTTTTCTATATAAAGAATGAATCAGAGGAAAAACAGGTACCTTTCAAGAGCAAATAATACACACTAGTCTTTATACTATATTAAAGGACTAATGTTGCAGGCAGATGTACTATTGGGTGCAAAAGATGGGGAAGTCATTACAGGTACTGTAGCTCACCCTCTGATTACAGAAGACAGCATTATGTACTTCGCTGGCATCATACACTAAGCCCGCCTACATGGTCTCATACTTCTATTTTATAGCTTCTCCCTATTTGAACTGTCCTAAGTTCTGTTTGAAAATGTATGTAGAAGTTTATGCATCTAAAACATTTAAAATCTGTTCCGTTTAATAAAAATAATGTTATATGCTGTTTTGTGCATGTAGTTAAATTCCAGTTACTATGCTGGTGTCAAGCAAACACATTAATCATGAATAGAAATGAACTGTCTGGTAAATAAGCAATATCTCATTCAGTATTTTTTAATATATTAAAATTTAAAATTAGTATGAATCTGCCAATATTAAGCTATATATGTAATTATTAAAATAAATGTATAGTTACAGTGTACCCTCCTGCACATGAAAAAGATGCATGAAGTCTAGGAAATGTACCAAATCTCTATTTAATTGTCATCAGGATGCTTTAATAGTTTAACCAAACAATGAAAATACACCTTTTTTTAAAGAAAGTAACTGAAGTACAGTCAAAGAAGTCAATTAAAATCAATTAACTAAATTGAGGCTTTCCACTTTCTGATTTAAATAAATACACTCTTTTGCCCTCAAAATGGGAATATCTCTTGCAGTATCAGTTCTGTATCAATACATTTCAACTTTAGTCTAGGTAAGTAACAACATAAGATTATCTCTTTCGTCTCCCTCTTGAGACAATCAGTAACAATTGTGGCAACAATATCTATCCTGTGGGTAGCTGTCCACTTGTGACATGAGATGAAGCGAGGCCATCAACCTATTCCCACTTCTGCCAGGGGAGCAGGAGTGTCACGGAAGTGAAAATGGAAGTTATAGCTCAACAATAGCTGCGTATCACTGCATGTCACGAAGCTCAGAGAAAAAAAATCCACATTTTCTTTTGCTTACCCCTCAGCAACTGTTTTTTGCCCAAATGCCTATATTTGCCCTTAGTGAGTAAGCAGTATTTTTTTTGATCACGAAACAATCATCTGAAAACAGAAGGCCAATCAGAGGAACTTCGCTGATAACTTCAGAATTAAAATCAGATTTCTTTCAAACAAATTGTTTTCTAGAAATATATACCCTGAAAAAGAGTTTGTTTATTAATATACTAGCAAAGTGCCCATCAAGAATGATGGGCGGGTAGCAGGGACAGAGCGCCACCACACACCGACATGCACTGCCACCACTCTATATCCAGCCCCATGCAACCCCCCTACTGCTCTGTGTCCGGCCCCATGCACCCCCCCACACCTGACACACACCCACCCATGCACATCCACCCACCTGCCACACCCTCCATGTGAGGCACGCTCCCCTCACTGGGTTCCTGCACAGCACCCTGCGGCCGTGTGCTCAGGCAGGCTCCCCCTGTGCAGGGGGGGCGTGGCCACAGGGTGCAGGCAGGGGGGTGTGCCCTAGAGCCACATGTTGCAGCCAGTGGGCACTGCCCATGCCCCCCTGCCCACTGTCCTCATGGCATCCTGAGGCCATGTGCCACCCCCTGCCCCAGTGCCAGGAGTACCTGCCAGTTGTGGGCGGCGGGGCATGCATGGTGCAGCTGCAGGGTGCTGTATGGGGAAAGAGCACACAAGGCGCAGGCAGTGCCCACTGCCTGTAGCATGTGGGGCAGGGCACACCCCCCATGCCTGCTCCCTGAGTGGCACCCTGCAGCCACATGCCATGCCCACCCCCTGCTGTGGGCCACAGAGAAGGCATGGCATGGGGGGGGGGGGGGC